GAAAATATGTTGCCTGAAAGATGATATTGAAGCTCTTCGGTCGTAGCGTGTACTATAAGAAGTCGCTTGTCTGTAGGCTTTGGAACCAGTATATCCTGTGCGAACGGAGAAAAAGTGCGCTTACGATCAAGCCGCTTGAATGTTCCATTTCTCCTGTACATCATCTCAACTAGCAGGATCTTCATTCACCTTTCGTCACTACTAGCTTAACTTCTTGAAATACTGTCACTAACTTGTTCACTTCATAATCATTATTCCAGGAAACATGTTCCGCCCTCGAGACTTGAGAACCTGCGATTGCATATTGTGGATAGAGGCGTAAGATGGAGTAGCTAAGTGATTCTCAGGGACGAAAGAAAAAAACATGGAGAACACCCTAAGCAGGGGAGTCCGCCACTTACCATGGAACTTTGAATGAAGACCTGAGTAATCGATATAGTCTATAGGGTCACAAATATAGATAAAGAACTGTTGCACATCTGCATTTCACAAGCAACTTATGAGCAGGTAAAGTTTGTAATGGTGCAGTGGGATGGAGACTCGGTGCTGACAGTTGTGCGTGAAGCATAAGCGAGGAATAGCATATGTCGAATCGAGTCGTGGTGGTTCATTGGTGAAGTTCGACGTTCGACGACTCGATTCGACGTATGCGATTCCTCGCTTATGCTTCACAGCTCACCACCAAGCCTCCACCCTACTGCACCATTACAAACTTTACCTGCTCATAAGTTGCTTGTGAAATGCAGGTTGCAGTTTTGCTATCTATATTTGTAAATAACCTTATAGACTATCGATCTACCCAGATCTCCATTCAATAGTACCATGGAAAAAAAAAAAAAAAAAAAAAAAAAAAAAAAAAAAAAAAAAAAAAAAAAAAAAAAAAAAAAAAAAAAAAAAAAAAAAAAAAAAAAAAAAAAAAAAAAAAAAAAAAAAAAAAAAAAAAAAAAAAAAAAAAAAAAAAAAAAAAAAAAAAAAAAAAAAAAAAAAAAAAAAAAAAAAAAAAAAAAAAAAAAAAAAAAAAAAAAAAAAAAAAAAAAAAAAAAAAAAAAAAAATAAAGAACCCTGGCTGCTTCCCTGGCTACAAGAAACAATAAGGACTCCTTGGCTGCCAATCACTGTACGAATCACAGACTTGGCTCTTTTTTATGGCTGGCAAAACGATTATCTAGCCGGCTAGTGCCGTTTGGACGCAACTACTTTTCGCTGTGGAGTTACTTATGAAGTGCTTAGATCACCAAACCCGCTGAAAACTTGTATACAGGGCTTATTTAACATCCTGATTACGAATATGACATTCATTCGTGGCGCAGGCGCTCATGGAAGACACCACGGTTATCTGCGCGCTAATGAGGTTGAACCCAAAACAAAATCATAGTTCCCATCATAATCACAGAAAACCCTAGTGTCTTCCATTAGTTGCAGCGCTAATAATGAATGTCATATTTGTAATCAGGATGTTGAATAAGTCTTGTATACAAGTTTTCAGCGGATTTGGTGATCTAGTCACTTCATAAATGACTCCACAGCGGAAAGTAATCGCGTCCAAACGGCACTAGCCTATCTGGCCGTGACAGCTAATAGCCTCTGAGTTTTGGTGGGCGGGATAATTAAGGAGGCGTCAGAACTGCCACCTATAGAGCCGCAGCGCCTTCGTTGCTTACTGTGAATTCACAAAAGTGAACATCCTCACAATCAGAGACTGAGAGACTGCTCTAACAGGAAATGATGTCTTTGAATGATTAAGTGCGGGGCTGTCTTTAAAAAGTAGTAATTAATCAATATATCGTTCATAGTTTGAAACTAAGTATTTAGTTACAACTTGGTTGATTTTTATCTTATTTTTGCACTGTTTATTTTAAATATTTCATTTACATTTTATGTTTATTTGTCAAGTTTAAGAGGATTCTTCAGTCGAAATTATATGTTGTATTGAGTAATAATTTTTTTTGTGACGAACGTTTTCGAAGAGATAGCTTAGTTCAAGTCCGCTCGTATAAAGAAACAAACTAGGCTACTTACTAGTTCCGTGTGAACTTTTTCAAGATTTAGGGAGTAGTGTCTAGCCTAGAAACAAATGGCAAAT